GTGTCTACACACTTGCCGGTCTAAACGGCTAGCTTGTGTAGAAGCATGGTAATGGAAAAGATTTGTTGAGGAGGGTGTGAATGTGTGATGTTGGGTAATAACGAGGCGAAGAGCAAAAGGTGAGATTTGGCATTAAACTGTCACTTGAAGCCAGCAATTCATGACAATGAGAAGCCCAAGAAGTTCTGAGTCTGCCGTTACAGCATGTTCAGCTTGATGCTGCAAACTGCTGAAAGCCGGTTATCAAAGATGCAAAATTATCGCAGTCGGCGCATCGGGCCACCACAAAAAGCGAGGCGCTGGAATGTCAAAAAAACAATTCAGCTGCTGATCTTTGATTACGCAGTCATGAATTTGGCATTGCGACATGTACATGATTGCAGGTGCGGGGGGTTTGCATCAGGGAAGTCCAGGTTGAGCGACGGCTGTCGTTTCTTCGTGGCCACAAAGCTCCTCCATGTCGCGCACTGCCCGCAGATGTCGACACCAGGAGACAACAGGCAGCCGGGAAGGCAGGCTGTCTCATTGTTTCGCTCATCAGCTCATCGGTTGAACAGGGATTTCAAGTCATGCAAATCACTAAGCTGTCGGCTGTGCAGAGCAAACTTCGCTGTTGCAGTTTCGGCCTTTGACACGTCTATCTCGGAAGCATTCTGGACAGCCCCCATGCCGCACTCTATGTTGTAGTGCTCACTTAAACAGCTTCGACCCTGGGATCCATACCACTTTGCTCGTCCATGACGCTACCGCGGAACGTATACCCTCAAGGCTCGAAGCAGTAGGAAAGCTGGGTAAGGTCGGTTGACCCTTGAGGTATGGCTGCGATGTTCCCGCCAACCCGCACACAGTCTTTTCGAGCTTTGTTGCCAAGGCAAGGGATGATGGCAAACCGCGCCACTCCTCTGCGAAAATGACCCTCACCTGAATAGCATGTTGGAAGAAAGTAGGATTCATGCAGGCATTCAGAGTCGATGCAAGGTCGCGGAAAGCAGCACTCGCGGTCACCCCCATCACCCCAAAATACTGCACGGTTGTGGTGTGCTGGCTGATCTCCAGAGCATCGTCGACAACTAGTACAATTCTGCTCAGGGTGGGCTATAAAGTACAGGGCACGGCAGTTACAACTTGGGCTTTCGAAGAGAGGGTGCGTGATGCATGCACAACAAGTCCTTCTGGTGCCTGATGGTGCATGCCTACAACCCAGCAAGGAATATGTGAGTGTCAAGAATGTTTGCCAAAGGCTTGCAGGTTTACCACACCTGTCCAGGAAGGACAATAGAACATGCCACCTAGCGATGCACGTTTGAGTCTATCAGGACTCTCTTTCCGTACAGGATCCGATAACATGGGGCGTACACCATGTAGGCTTGCGATATCGAGAAAATCCAGTCCAAGTTAACAGTCAGGGACCAGCGCTGAAGGGCAAAACCGGCCCAGTTCAGATCGAATCTCCAAATCCAGCTGCAAACAGATCGCAGGGTCGTCTCGTGGCTTCAGCATTTGCCTCTTCGATTTAGTCAGGGTTCGTGGCGATTCACAGAAACTCGTGTCTGTGCTGGCAGGATGTCGTGTTCTGGGGCGGACGGCGGCGTAGGTCTTGCGGCATGGTCATCCTGCTCCTGCCTCTCAGAAGCAATGCCCGCCTTGCAAACTGATGGACTTCATAAGCACAAACGAATGCCCAGCCTAGATATGAACTGGTTGTGGACTTCCTCTTGCTCTCTAGTACTATGAAGCTCTTGGTCCACACCGTGGACGGGTAGCATGTGTGACGGATTTGGGGCGGCGGTCATCAGGGGATAGGAAAGGCCTTGAGCCAAGCTTAACATGCCCTGCTGGCATGATCCCCTTGACAACAGTCAGGTTGCAATTTTACATATTCGAGCTGCACGCCCTTGCTGACATATGACTGCCACGCTCTCAGGGAGACAATCCAAAGGCTGCAGTTCGGCCTGCATACCTGGAGGCTGCGCCAAGATGATTGCACCTCGTCACTTCACCGCGGCACGAATTGTCCCAAAGTTGTGCTTCTTAAAGGCAAGGAGATTGCGTAGGCTGCTTATGCAGCCCTACCTGCAGAGCTGGCGTGCCAACACATCAGCATCCCTGCTTAAAAAAGAAATGCCCCAGAAGCATAACAAGAAGCATCAACTGTGTACGACCGTGCAAGAACGAGGGTTAGAATTATTGCTGCATGACTGTTGCATATTGTTGCGACAACACTTCTGGTGCGCAGTGCTAGGCATGGCAGTGGTACTAGATATGTCTGAGGGTTTAGCAAACCCACAGTTTACTTTTGCTCGCTTTTGGAAGAATCGTCCATATTGTTGGGGCCCACTTGTTTGCGTGGAAGTCGTTATGATTCATATCATTTTACGGCAGCTTGCTTGGCAAGATGTGCTTGCCCCAAGTCAAACACAAATTACATGCGCTTTTGCAGGGATCTTCTCATTATGAGTCCGCTGGTGTCCAGCATACCTACAGAAACTCTGTTTCAATCCTGGAAGGCGTACAGCAAACCAGCCATCACATCAGTGTTAGGAGGGGGAAACCAAACCTCAACTGGGGGCCCCACGCGCCAAGGCATCCACCATACAGACGCACTCCCTCGGCTCCAGACCTGCAAGTGCAAAGATGCGCAGACCCAATTGAGCCAGTGTTTTGGCTAGACTTTCTAAGCCAAGCATTCCCGTTGTGGCCTGTTGTTCTTGCAACTTTTCTTGGCAGCTAAGTCTCTGGGTTGCAGGTTTGCTGGGACTTGCCGCTTCAGCATCAGGGTCGCAGCGCAGCAATAGCACTCCATCAATACATGAGAAGCATAGCCTCAACAAAGAAACCCAAACATGCATGGCAGGTCAATGCTGAAGTGGAGTTCCAGGTCACTTGTCACAGCACAGGCCTAGACGACCCGGCAATAGCTGGTTTCTCTAACAAACTCAACGGATTCTCTGCCACCTGAGGAGTAATTCCACAACGAATCACGCGCAAGCCCTTGGCTTAGGTTTTGCACTACGTCACTAAGCAACATTGAGCAACAACCTTTGCACACTCATCCAGGTCCCCCGCTCGGAGGATGCTTTGAGCGAAATGATCCCCATGCTAAGTCATGACGCAACCATACCAAACAAAGCCAAAAATCCAAAATTGAGAACACACACCAAGAGAAGTAGACTCCACAGACTTTGGGGTGATGGACCTCAAAATGGGGACCCACAATTATGAGGAAGCTCCCGTCCCAGAGCCCAGCACTCTTGGGAGCCATCCCCTTGTCTGTTGAGGGCTGAGTGGACAACCCCTGCTTCCAAGGAAGCTACTCCATGTTTTATAGAGGTTATTTAGGGGTTCTATAGGCGCTATAAAGGGATTGTATAGAAATTAGTTTATCTCGGGGTTTATGGGGTTTTAGGGTTTCCCCAAATTAGGGACCCTGTTTGGTACCCCTATTTATTAGGTGCCACAGTATAGTGCAAAACTAAAAGGGGCCCACAATTTTAAGAACAATCCATGTAATAATGACGGCTTAAAGCACGTTTTTACTGAACACCTCAGGACAGAAGACTTGGGGACGCCGCCTGCCAGAAAACCCTCACCTCTTTTTCAGCAAGGCAGACTACCACAGCAGCAAGTGCTGAGTTAATTGCGTCCATTTCCGTCGAGGTCGAAAGCAGCGAACCTGAGAGAATGAAGCGCGTGACCCTCTTTAGCAATGTCACGGATAGGCCAGGCAGGTGACAGCATCTGGATCTGCTCCTGCCGGGCATAGACAAAGTGCAACGCAATTAGATGATGGCAGAAGCTCGGCAAAACAGGGCTCAAGAGCTTTAGAAATCACTGCTTGCTTTTGCAGAAAAGGGCACCGCCTGTCGCGGAGCTACCAGACCCTGCTTCTTGAAGACCTTTACGCCATGATTGTGAGGGGCTTGCAGTGGCGTGCACTATGGGACAACAGATCTTAGATAGGGACTGTCATGCTGGACCATTATGGACCATCTATACGGAGCCACCGCACCCATCTTGGCTTGCAGAGTTCTACAACTCAGCACCCCGCCCGGGCAATGAAGCTCTGAATCTCTCCAGACTCCCAGGTCAGATGGCCCTTCCTTTTTCGGTAGCTTCAACGGATGACATGTGCCTCCTGGAAGCAAGACTGCTGCGCACCTTTCTCGATCGCAAGCGCGAAACAGCTCCAAAGCTTCCTGAAGGATGTGAATCTGAGTTGGGCGGCCATAAGCTTACACTCTGGCTGATGCCGTGGCCAGCCTTGAGGAGGCTCATGTTTTCTAGCGACTCCTTTATCCTGAGACGCTTGAAAGTATGCAAATGTCTGGTCAGAGCACGTGTTGGCGTTGTGTCCTGGGGATATTCTGGACATTAGCCTGAGCTGTTTCTCGGAAGCTGCCAGAGAAGTCGGCAATGTCTACAGGCCTCGGTCGCCCGAGCTAGACAGCAAATGGAAATGGCCGTGCCACAAGAGCTTCCGACTGTCTCCTGGGTGTGTAGGCCATGGTGGTCTGCGTCAGTGGCTGGACCTTGTCGTTATGTTACAACCGCATTTGCACATCAGGTGGTCTCCGCTCTTGCGGTTGCGGGAGACGTCGTCTACTTCTCACAGAAGCTTAGAGATGCACACTGTATCCCTCAATCCACTCTTGCGCCAGGCGGTACCTGCCCAGGAAATGCAGCCACGAACCGATTGTAGAACTCTATGCATGCTTCACATGAATCCCACGGGCGCACCCTCTGCTGGCAGATGATGGCATGACAGGTGCCTTGCGGCAGAGTGTTGAAAACAAGCACTTGAAAAGCCACTGGCTGCTGAGGGCCACACACCACTTGGCACCGGCAAAGTCTGGAAACAAGTCAAACAAGCAGGAGTGAAGAACGAATCCAGCTGCTGCGACAAGCGCGGTGTTCCGCGATGACTTTTGTCAACTTCGGCTTCAGGGGTGAAACTTGTCCGGCAAGTCTGTGCCTTGACTTAGGTCCGCTGCTGCTTCTGGTCAGGCTTTGTCAGCCACACAGCGAAATCCAACAGTGCCGGCCCGGTCCAAGGACGGTGCCATGAGAAGATACTTTGCATGGACTGTGTTTCGGTACAAGCTGATGTAGTCCTACATGCCGACAGGAGAATGCAACTGCTGCTGCCCCAAAGCTTGTGCAACGAAGTTTTGCCGCAAGCGTCCTTGGGGCCAAAGTAGTGGTCACCCGTCCACTTGGTATCCCAAGCTCCTTTGAACACAACTGATGTGCTGAGTGCAGCGCTGCAATCCCCAATGTGGGGAATCTCATCCACTGATTGACATGAGATCCAAAGTACTGATGCCAAATCAAGGAATCCCGGGTCTGCTGACCGTCCCCCCTGGAACGTCGAGACAAGGGATTCCCAGAATTTCTCCTGCAGGAGCACGTCCGGGAAAGTACCAAGGCTGATAACGAGGATGAGGGATGCCAGAAGCATCATGGGCGTTGGGCTGGAAGACGGAACCTCCTGGTTGGTTCCGACTCTGGAGTATGGTTGCAGCATAATGTTCTTTCGAGAGTGCACAGGGCTGTTTGGCCAGCTTCCATGCAGCCAGGCATCCACGCAGAACAGCAGCACGATTGTGGTCATCCTCATACTCGTCAGTCCACTGCCAGACAAGGCCGACCAAGTCCTCAACTCCATCTGGGCTGGAGCCATTGGGGAATCGCCCCACTTCGCCTTATCTATAGCAAAACCATCATATCTTGATCAGCTACATCCAGCAGCTACTGTCGCTGAGGAGCTCAAGCCAAAGACGCTGGCATTCTGTTGTGCCGGTGGCACAGCCTCCCTCCACCACCATTGGCCCCAGGGGTAAGTGCGATCAGGGTCGCCGGCCTGAGATCAGAAAATGAGAATTGTTTTTGGCAACGTTCAAATTTGTGCACGCACAGGGGCAGCTCAAGGAGTCCCATCCCAAACTCCGAATGAACCCTGTTCCAAAAGATGAAGGGCCTGAGCAACGTATTGCCACTCCCATTCTCTTGGAAGCCGCTTTCCGTAGAAGCTGCCTTACTGGCATGACACAAAGCAGCCAGAATCCAAGCCTGCATCGCCTACTCCTCTCTCTGCTCTGCAAACTTGTCACAGAATTCCTTCGCGTCGGGACGGCTCACCTGGTCTGCTTTCCCGTGCATTCATGGGCAGCAAGATTAGACGCGAACTTTGCAGACCTTTGCGCAGCAGAAGCCGAATGCAACCAGGAAACGTACACCACGGGCATTTTGCCAACACCAGGCGGCATCACACAGCTTTCCGTGAAGGTAGCACACCCCCAGTGATGCAAAAAGCTCCCCGTATCGACCTTAACTATCTTCATGATGCTCTGACTGGTATGCAAGAGGCTCAAATTCTGGACTAGTCCACATCCATCACTGCAACCTTCAACTCGTGCTGCTGAGTCCATGTCCCCGGTACACAACTGAGCACATCACTGGCATGTACGAGGATTGCTTCAAGAACGCCGCGTACTGCTCATTGGTGACTGGATACCTTAGACATGCGTCACAACTGGCGCAAGACAGTGGCTTTTTGCAACTCATCGGGAAGAGAAATGGGCTGATCAGCCCGGCCACTTATCAATCCAAAGATCAGCAATGCTCAGTTTGTGCGCCTTATGATACTTGACAGGCTCCAGCTCCCATGGATACCTGATCAGACGCATCAGAGCAAGCAGCTGGCTCAGGCTGACCGTTCAAGGTGCTTTCCGTGGAATGAGCAGTGAAGGTTTGCATCTGGTGCGTCACTTAAAGTGGCATCACTGGCAGTGCTTCTGAAGGCGGTGCCATTGGGGGCTGCGCAGCTTGATTTCCACAAATCTGCCGGGGCTCTGCACGTCTACGGCCAGCTTGACAAATTGCTTCCCATTCTTCCGGGTGTCTTCTATCTCACAACCGGCAACCTTGGCTTGAGCTTCACTGACTGGGCCGCTTAGTGACTTCGTGCTGAAACGCAAGGTGGGCTGCAGAGAAAAGAGCACATCGAAGGGGAAAAACTGCCTGGAAAGATTCTTGCCGTGAAGCACGGAACTCGTAAGCCGAACTTCCCTTCACAGCAACCATCCCGCTGGTGTTCCGTGCCGTTGCTTTGTCACTCTTCAAAGCTGACGTGGACTGGAGAACAGGGGAAGCCTGACAGAAATCCACGAGCCACCAAGCATTTGAGAGGGGCACAGATACGCTTGATCCGAGAAATCTGAACCTTGTCCTCGAAAGAATCCAAGGACTTGGCCTAAGCTGGGCGAAGCATCTTGCCCGACAGTTTTGCCCCGACACGCCAGGCGGACAAGCCAAGGTACGGTCATGTCACTCATTCGCCTCATGAGCTCTAAGTCATTGGGATTGAGATGCCCGCTCCCTTAGCCGGCACTAGTCACGCAGGCAGCCTGTAGAAAAACTTCTGGTAAGACCAATGGCAAAAAGAAGCCCTGCGGTCATGGCCGTGTCAGTGTGCGAGGGCATCTAGCAAACTGCGGTGCATTCAGGCTGTCCACTTGGGATTCCAATCTTCTGTGGACCTGGTGCCTGGTCTCAATCCCCAAGCAAGCGCTGCCGAGTCACCTGCTTGCAGAATCGCTCCAATGCCTCGCCCTTCCACAGAAACACGCAACTGCGCCGTCTTCCTGAGTTCGTTGCAGTTGCTTGGTGATATGCCAACATTCGAAGAGATCCCAGGTTACTTGGATCTTGTCCCACCAAACACTAGTAGAGATATTGGTTTGTTGCGAAGGTTCTTTTATTGTTTTCTTGCTCCAGAATCAACCGCAAAACTTCTTCGGGCTACTACTCACAGGCGGCTTGGAATCCAAGCTCTTCTGCGGGCATTATTATCAGCAGACCGGCAAGCTGAGTTAAAATGATGTCCAAGTTGCCCACGCCCCTTCTCTGCACACGATTGGACAAGGCCTCAGCCAGGAAACGTTTGAGAAGTTGGGACAAAGCTCCGTCGTTGTCGCACGTGCATCCAGGGCTCATTCACTCTTGGTCTGAATTTGAATCTCTCCATTGTATCTGGGACAGACCAGACTCTGGAAACAAGCATTCAAGCAGGCCTTGCTGTCATTTTGCAGCAGTTAAGTCTCCAGTTACTCAGACGGGCCGCATGCTGTGAAACTCTTGATGGCCGACCACGGGCGTCGATAAAACCCAATCCTGACTGCATGCGCAGCGTGCCGTCACCATTGCAGGCTCATTCCAGATTAAGCTTCTATTTAGGATTGAAATGGCCCTAGGCAACATCCAATAAAACTGATCATCGTGCATTTAGGCAACGAAACATGAATCCTACCTACGACCCGGTAATCAAGTCAAAAGGAGGCCCGCCTGCACGCCTGCTGTCTGAGTACCTGTGTTAATCACGAGGAAGAGAGCTCGGCCCTGACCAACCTCAGAAAAGATCAGCGAGCAGAGCGAGCAGGTAGGCCGGGCGGCCCGGGCAACAACTTCCCTGGGATCTTCAGCCCTGTGCCATGGACTTTGCCCAGAGTTCTCTCAGGCAGGCGCAAACTTTGACACGAAGACATGGCTCCCAGCTTCGGTTAGATGATCAATAGGATAGAAAGGTAGCCATTCCGTGCCGGGGTCCTGCGCAGGGGAGAAACATCAAACGTTTCCGGGCCAATGCATTCTGCGAATAGGACATACAAACAAACCGTGACAATCAGTGCCATACAAGTGCTCCAATGACGTGTTCATCCAAGTCTCAGTCAGAAAGTGATGATAATGGCGCAGGATCTTCATCGATCTTCTAAGAAGTTCACCATCTCGTGGCTTGATCTCGTTCCTGACATCGTCGCACGACAGCAACAGAGCCCTGGACTACATTAAATTACATACTCCCATGACGTCTGAAAAGCACCCTGCGCTGACCAAGGGTCCACACGCCAAAGATGTTCTCCCATGCTGTAAAGCCAATAGCATTGAAGTAGGCAGTCCTCTGTTTATGAGCTCGGGGGTGGACGTTTGGATTGGATTCAAGTCCCCTGCTGCCATTTCACGGCCAAGAAGCAGAATTTCTTGCGACCTCTCAGTGGACCAGCGTCCACAAATATGTGGCATGGACGCGCGCATCACCCATTTCTGAAGGGAAATCAGGGGCGTGAAGGGCCGCACCTCCTTAGTCTGCACAGGTGGAATTACGAAAACTTGGAAAGCATTTTCTGCAAAAATGATTGCCCAAGATGCTTGTAGGATGCTGCAGGGTCATGGTGATGCAAGTGAAAGTGAAGAGCATGCCATATGGGAACTTCTCGATTCTAAGGACCCAGATGATTGAAACGGCTGATTTGTTGTCCAGGCCACCGAGCACCCATCAGGAGGGCACTGCGCTAGCGTGTACAGCCAACCTTGTGCTGTGGTGTTCCTTGGAATGATGCGGTGCCGACACGGACAGTAATGTATCAAGTCTGGAAAAAGTACTTGCTCTGCGTGCGGACGAAGATCAGCAAGAAGAGCCCCTTGTACAGGTTCAACTCTGGCTCAATGATCAAGTGGAGGATGCCCGCCTCACAAACATCCATGCAAGACACTCCTGTGCAAGCCATGTCTTTCTTCTCAAGCACATGAGGCCTCTTTGGCAGCATCATAGAAATAGGTGACAGGCAGAACCTGTTCAAGTTGCTGCAGCAACTGCAGCAACACGACAGGGCAAGGAGGACCAGGGGCATGTACTGCAGTCGACGGGGTGATGGGACAGGACCTGCCAGCCAAGTGGCTGGCTTGTCTTGACCAGGAGGAACCACGAATGGGCCCAGAGAGTCCATGGTGTCTAGGTTGAGGCCATCTATGCCGCTATCCGCTGCAAGCTCAGCATATCCTTGCGGAGCATGAATGGGCCCTAAGCATGCCTACTAAACTTTACTAAACGTAAGAAGTCAACCCTTCGGTCATTCAGGCGGCCAGTCGCTCAGGGAAAAATTCCACACGTAAGGAAGGTGTGTTGGCATGCAAAATAACGAGTCCATATGGAGCTCCCTAGCACGAGGCCACTAATTGAAGCTGATACACGTGCACTTTCAACGTACTTAACTGTCTTAGCGCCAGGATGGTCTTTACCCCGGCATTAAATTAGACTCCTCCACTTGGCGGCTACAGTAGCATTATGTACAGCAGCCGCACCCTGAAAAATCTACAAAGAGAGAAAAATACGACTCCCTCACTGCCTGCATGACCTGCTTACCCGTCACAATGCTCAACCTTGTGCCAGGCATCTCCGTGGATCGTTTTCTCCCAAGCCATTGGTCGCTATGTCCCAAGGCCTCAGCTCACACATGACCAGGCTTGAGGAGGAGCATGGAAAATTGCTGAGCGCAGTACTTGTACGGAATCCTGAGCTTAACATGTACAGCACAAGCTGTTGGAAACCAGTTTCTGACATCTGTTGGAAAACGGTCTTCTGAACCCGAGGTGCTGCACCAGCAATGACGGCTCTTCAGCTTTGAGCGCCTGGGGCAGGACTCTGCCGCGTGGTTGTTGCATAGGGCTCCCTCGATAATTTGCTTCGCAAGGCAGACTTCCGGTGCTTTTTTGCGCCGCAGATGTGTCTCCAGTACTGGCTGGCCCACATCGGCCTGCAAGAAGAGCGCACAATAGCACTTGGCAAAGGCGCACCTATCCTGCAGTTTGGCCTTCCAAAAGGCGCGAGAATTGTAAAAGCAATGTGAAGCACCAACAGCAAGCAGCACACCAGGGCAGCATCTGGAATGACTGCAGAAATTGCTGCCTGCTGAAAAGCTTCACTGGGTAGAGACCACGTTACAGGAAACACGCCCCATCCCTCACATCTTCACGTGTTCAACCACCTGGGGCTTGGCGAAGTAGACATACCATGGGACAGAGCCATACATGAAACCAACGGCCAATGCGGCAGCCCAGCCAATGTAGATGACTGTGTTCTGGTGGTCACGCGGGATCTGCATGGCATCAGCAGGCACCAGCTTCTTCCATCCCAGGCACAGATGTGTGACAAAGATCACAACAGCAGTCGTGTACCAGAGCACTGTTCGGAAGTCCTTGAAGAGGGCCACTTCGCGTGAGTACAAGTCACGCGCCCTGACCAGCTCGCCATCTGTTGGGTCAGTGAAAATGTGACCGGACAGCACACCCTTGTAGTTGACGAAGAGCGGAGGCGCTTTCAGTTCCACATAGTCGTATTCTGGGTAGAACCGGAAGTCCATGAGATGCTTGGATAGGAACGTCAGCACCACCAAGCCTGACAGCAACATGTTCCATCGTCCTGTGCCAATGGTGTATCCAATGGTGATGTCGTAGGATCGCTTCAAGGCTACAGTGACATGCAACAGAAGCGCCAAGGCCAGGTATTCTTCAACAGCGGACACGGGGAAGGACTTCACGAACCCGAGTCCGCCAGTCCAGTGGATACGGTCAAAGAGGTAGCCCTCGCCGTTGAGCTCCGCTGGGCCCCCGAGCATGTCCACAAAGTTTCCAAGGGCGTGGACGATGGTGAAGGTGAGCAAGAACACAGCAGATCTCATTGTCCCCTTTCGGTTGTTGTCCAGGGTAAACTTGAAGTTTCCCGTGAAGAAAATGGTTCGCAGAACCATGAGCAGCACGTTCTTCAACAGGAAGATCACGGCACCAATGATACCCGGGATTCCACCATCCCCATCGGGAGGTGGCGCCTCGTCATCACCCGCTGCTGGTGCTGCAGCAACCGCAGCAGCTGCCCCGCTCACCTTGCCCATCATCTTCAGGTGCTGCGCATTCTTCTCGACGGTGCCAGGCTTGTGGATCATCACCCACTCCTCTGTGGCATCTTTGCCCAAATAGGCCATGATGGCCTGTTCACCACCTGGGTGAATAGGAATCCACTTGGTGACGTCAATGGCTTCGCCATTTACAACGACCCAGGCATCCTCCTTCTTGTTGTGCTTGGCAACCTCATCCATGGACAGGCCACCGCCACCTGCAGGAGCCGCGGCCGCTCCCCCACCACCTCCACCCGCACCAATCTTGCCCATCATCTTCAGGTGCTGGGCATTCTTCTCCACAGTGCCGGGCTTGTGAATCATGTTCCACTCCTCCGTGGCATCCTTTCCCACATATGCCATGATGGCCTGCTCGCCGCCTGGATGAATAGGGATCCACTTCGTGACATCAATGGCCTCACCGTTCACGACGACCCAGGCATCCTCTTTGGTGTTATGCTTTGCCACCTCCTCGAGAGTTACGCCTGGGGGCCCAGCATCCGCCACAGGAGCTGCAGCAGCGGTAGGCCGCGTCTCCAGCTCCTTGCAGTAGGCCAGCAGCTCGTCGCGGGTCATGTCTTCCGGCTTCTTTTCTGGCTTCTTGTCCTCTGCTGTCGCAATTGCGCCCAGATCCGACACCTTCTCTTTGGCACCCACTGCCTCTGCAGCGGTTTTGCCAGCCAAACGGCCAGTGTAGATGGAGTACAGCAGAGGCACGCCTGATGCTGACCATGCGTTCGGGCAGGGGCACGCCGTGACTTCGCCTGCTGCAAAGAGTCCTTGGATGGCAGCCCCAGTGCCTGTGAGGACCTGGCCCTGGTCGATGGCCAAGCCACCCGCACATGTGTAGACGGCCGACGTGATCTGCGCAACAAGCACCGGCCCAGAACCCAAAGCTGGAAGGTTGCCAGCTGCAATCTTCATCTCGCTGGCTAGCTGGGCCGCATTGCTGTACTTCTTCATCACCTTGCGCGAGACGTAGAAGTCGCACAACCACTTGACCTTCTCCGCTTCAGCCTCCGAGATGACAATTCTGAATGGACCCTTAGATTTTGTCATAGCATCTGCACGTTTCTGCGCAATCTCCAGCTCGCTCACGAACTGCTTGCCATCCGCATTGATCAGCTTGCCACCAGCACCAACAATGGCATCAGAGAGCACAATCTTGAACTTGTCGTTCTCCATGCCAGGAATCACTGCCGCGGAGGGGTACACGGAGACCATGTTCATGTTCTTCACGGCTGCTTTCACGGCCTGAGCCAGACTGATGCCGTCGCCGTTCGTACGCTCATCACTGGTGGTAGGCAGCGTCAGCAACTGCGGAGCACTCTGTGCCAGGAAGGATGTCGGTGATGTGTCACCAGCAAAGCCGCCAGTTGCCAGGATCACGATGCCCATCTCCTTCTGAGTGCCTCCGGCCTGGTACTCGACGCCCACAACCTTGGAGCCTTCAGTAAGCAGCTTTGACACCGTGGCAGACGTCACAAGCTTCAGCTTGTCCGGCTTTGCTTTGGCGATGCCATCCAGCGCATGCATCACGGCATAGGTGACAACAGCTCCAGGAAAGTGACTCTTTGTTCCCAGCGTTCTGGCAACTGCCTTGTGACCAGGGGTGAGACGCAGCTCCATCTCGTCCTTGCAGCCAGCTAGGTTGAGTAGCCAATCTACATCCTGGGCTCCTTTCTCGATCATCTCCTTTGCCATGGGCTCCACAGCCACTAGGTCCTCGCCCTTGTCATTGATGCCTGCTGCTTTCTGGAGTTCGCTGCCAGGCGCTGCGATGCCGGTGGTGGCCTTGGAAGAGTTGCCACCCAGGTTGTGGCTTTTCTCAAGGATTGTCACGGAGCACCCTCGCTCCAGGAGCTCACAGGCCGCCGACAAGCCGGCTAGCCCGCCGCCCACGATGACCACCTTCGCCATGGC